ACCGAACCCGGGTCTCTCAGGACTGCAGGCCGACGCTCTAACTGCTGAACCAAACCGGCCAGGGCATAAAAACTAATTTTTCAGTTAAATTTATTTGCCACTTATCTTTGTGATTTTTTTTCCTGCTGCGTTTATGCACAAAACGTTTCCTCTATCCTAAAAACATTTGCTAGATGTAAACCTCTATTTTTGAGTAAATGTTACTCCTTCTTAAGGATTTCTTTTCCCTTCCTTCCTTCCTATTTCCTTTTTAAATAAGATTTTTTTTAAAATCCTCACCCAAGGATATTTTTCCACTTACCTGCAGATAGAGCTGGAGGACGAGAGGGAGGAAGAGAGAGAGAAAACATCAATGTGAAAGAGACACATCGATTGGTTGCCACCTGTACAACCTCAACCGGGGCCGGGGACAAACCGCAACCAAGGTACGTGCCCTTGGCTGGAATCGAACCTGGGACTCTTTAGTTCGCAGATGATGCTCTAACCACTGAGCAAAACCAGCCAGGGCTCTAAATGAGATTTTCCTTTTAAAATCAATTTTGCATGTGTTTTGATGTGGAGAATAAGGCAAAAAGCTATTTTTCCTTGCAAATAATTTCTTTTGAGAACATTTGTTGAGTAATTTATCTTGTCCTCATTAATGTATGATGTTTTATTTATTACATACCAAAAGCTTGTATATATTGTGTTTAGTTCAGAGCTATCTATTCTACTACTATCATAAGGTTTTATTTACTGCATATTTAAAATAAATATTTAAATGATTTCCATGTTTATCATCAGTCTTTTGTATCATTATTTTCCCATATTATAATTATTAATTAAATTTACTTTTGGTCAGTTGGAATACGTTTTCAGGTAAGTTTTTTTTCCTTCCAAAAAAGTTACTTGGGTAATACAGTAATATAATTTTACCTATACCTGAAAACTTGTATATTTCTATTGTATACAAAATCCAAGTTGTTTAAGTATAAAACATATTCCTTTAAATTATATACATGTTGTTTTACTGTTTTGTGGCACAGACTAAATTTTTATTACAAGTAGCTAATCATTTTTTCCCTACCTCGATAGTATACATAATATAAAGTACTTTTTTCTTTGCATTTACAGAATACAGCTATAGTTTACTTTTTCTTAATCACAGAACATGTGAAAAGAAAATTTTTACTTGATATAAGTGGATAGAATATGCTCTCAGTAAATTCCAAATGGAGCAGGATTTAGAAAATGGGAGTTTCAACTAAGGTATATCTTAAACAATGTGGTAGAACATTAAAACATTTTTTCCCTTTATTGATTTTAGAGAAAGAGGAAGGGAGAGGGAGAGAGAGATGGAAACATCGACGAGAGAGAACATCGATCGGCCGCCTCCTTCATGCCCCTCACTGGGGATTGGGCCCATGACCTGGGCATGTGCCCTGACCAGGAATCGAACTGGTGACCTCTTGGTGCATTGGTCAATGCTCAAACACTGAGCCACACCAGCCAGGCTGTGGTAGAACATTTTTAATAGAAGATCAAGAATCAGATCATTCTTAACCCTCTTACTCATCTATGAAAATCCTTCAGCCAACGTTACACTTAATGGCAGAACATTAAACCTATAAGAACAAGGATAAGGCAAGAATGTCAACATTGTACTGGAGGTTCAAAATAGTGTAATAGACAATTCTTAAATCTCTCTAACTTTGGGGTTGAGTAGGCAGAATGAATCCATCAGGGCCCAGCGGTTAGGAGGGGACCGGAGGAGAGAGGTCTTCTGTAAACCCTGCCTGATCTCTGCCCAGCCAGGAGAGAAGAGCTTAAGGAGACTCCTGTGGCTTTAACACGTGTTCTCCTGCAGTGCGAGGGACACAGGTGATCCGTGCTAACCCCATATCCAGTCAGCACACGAGCTGCTGAACTGGTCTGTGGCAGAGACACAGGGAGAGTCCGTGCACTCCTCGGGTTCACTGGGACAGAGACGGTCCTCAGAGGGCCAGCTGTCGTCAGAGGAGGAAGAGCAGGGTCTGCTCAGGGTCCCGTCCAAGAGGGCTCCCTGAAGACATGATGAGACAGCAAAGAAAAACAGCAGGTGGTGCTGAATCGCTAGGGGCTGAGGAAGAACTAGCCAAATCAGAGGTCCATTCTCCCTAGTCCAAGCTGGCGGCCAGCAAGGAGTCCCCAGCACCCACCAGATGAAGGTGGCTTCACACACAGGCCAAGCCCAGGGGGCACCAAACTCAACTATCGTAGCAGGCAGGTCAGTTACAAAGGCTACTGCTCCCAGCTTCTCCAGCCCCTTCCATCCCGTCCCCGGATGGCCCAGAAACCGTGGTTAGCGAGATGGAAATTAGGAGCAAAGAAACTGGATGGGAAAAGACAGAGGAAAGCAACAGCTGCCTCCTTCCTCACCTGTGGCGGGCAGGGACAAAAAGCCTCAGGTTTACGTTAGCTTTGTAGTTTGATGATGGCTCGGAACTGCATATTTAACCAATGCTACGTGTGGGGCCGACTGGAACCCCACAACACTTCGCTGAGGTGTGACCAGAGGCTATGACTCAGCAGTTTTGGCCAGGTCCAGGAGGACGGGCATCGCGGAGTGGGTTCAGAGGGAGAGATGGAACCCCGAAATAAAGTCACTTGACAATCCCTGGCAGACACCAAACCATTTTCATTCAGCATGTTTAAGTCACATCCTCCTAGATTTGATCGCTTTTCATATTTCAGAAAAAGATCTCTGTTCCTTTAAGTCTGTTTATCTCCTCGGGGTAATCGTAACTAACCAAGGGCTCACTCATTGCTGTACTTTCCAGAGCACCACGTCCATCACTCCGTTATAGACTCATCATGGTCTTTGCTAGATAGGCACCCAGTTACGTCTCCACCCCACTCACACCTGGACTCGCATCTCAATCACAGGAAGGGCGTTTCAGTCACTCTGTGTCTTCACCCTGTATGCAGTGAGCTTCTGTAAATGTGCTGTGAAGACATACTAATTGAATCAGTCAATAAAGGTACACGTACATTTTTTTCTATGAGAATCCAAGAAATGCAATGCTTTGGCTTTATTCCACTTCCATGTCAAGCAATTTTCTATTTATGGTATATTTAGACGAATACATTCCACAGAGCCAATGAAATCTCGCGGCGTACTTGTTTGTTTAAGGCGCACTCAGTTTCTGACCACACCTCAAAGTAACACGTGGGGCGCACACACTGTATAGTAGCTCAACTACTCCTTAAGAAAAGGAGCTTTGAATTTTTCTAATTTTCTGAAGATGTATGTATTCTCACCCAAGAGAAACCGCAGGCAGGATTTCGGAGCACAATACTCATGGGAGGAAAAACATTTCTATTACAAAGCATTAGCGTGATCCCTCAAAGAGATAAAAAAAAAAGTCTGCAAGTCATTTTTATGGGATTCCACTTTTTACCACTCGGATTGTGTCAAAATGCCTCCACCCCATGTGGCAAATAAAACCCAGCTCAACTAATGGAACAGAAAACCAAGAAATAGGCTTCATTATATTCTGTTTCAAGGTCATGACTATACAGTGTACAAGGCCACATAATGAGAGAACCAGCAGATTTTCTGTAAGGATGGACCTGATGTCATGTAAATGACATGTGTTTTCATCTGCTGATATTACCATATGACACTATCGTATGCTGGTGGCCCGAGAGTTTGTTGGGCTCACTATGCCCGTGGCATGCAACTCTTTCACTTTTTAAATAATTTTATCTAAGCTTTTTCTTCTCTTAAAAAAAATACTATTTTTGAGCAGTTTCAGGTTTACAGAAACATTGGGCAATTTACAGTGTAGAGGAGTCAGCATGGAGTGAGTCCTCTGGGGATCAAGGACAAAGCGGACCATCAGAGCTAAAACAGCCTGGAGCTGGGCCCCAGCGGCCCAGGGCAATGAAGGGGATAAACACGGCAACAGTGCACGGACCAGTCTCTAGAGATTGCTGAGAACAAACAAACAGGCGAAATCCTATTTCATGTCCTTGCGATACTCATGCTTGTGACTCCTAACCCTTTCACTGTTTGCAGTAAGACTGAAGCTGAATGTTGAGCAGAAAAGCCAGTGAAGTCTCACTTCTAACCTTCCGTGAATTCAAAAGAGAGAACAACTCAACAGAGAATTTGATCAGTGACTGCTCTCTGAAGTGGAAATCTAGATGTATTAAAGCAAATGTTTGGAACACAGGCCCGTTTTGGTCAGGACCTGAAGACAGATGAGAGGACAATTTTGAAGTTATTCTCATCAATCTTGATTTGTCTGATGCTGTGGACCTGTTATTTATTCTAACTAATAATATTTTTGCAAATATCATTCTCTAAAGCCTGTCTGTATTTCAAGAAATATAATGATTACAAAGCTACAGCATCAAAATAGAAATATATGAGATTAGTTATGCTTTCCTGTGATTGCTCGTGAACACTGTTCAATTCCTTCCATAGTTTTCTGGTATTACAAAAGGACTCTGATTATTTCTTACACCAGACACATGGTTTAACATGATTGTGTGAGAAAAACAGCTAAGTTATTATCTGTAGGTCCCAGTTATACCATTAAAAGTACAAGCTGGTTTGAGTCTGAGCCATCTAAACTGTTTGTCCATGAAAGTTGACATCCAAAGCAGGTCACTAATAGGTTTTAAAAAATGAGGGGAGGAACATTTTGTCTTACACTTTTACTAGAAATCCAGGAAGATGTAAATCGTAAGCCCCGCAAACCGCCTCTGGCTGTCTTCTTCCTTCCAATTTCAAAAATACTAAGTAACTCGACCGTGATGGCACGGTGGGAAAATGCACTTGTCGAAGTGAAACGCTACATTATTGAATCTGGTCATGTTACACAAGAGTGGCAAGCTTTTCTTCTCTAGTTTACCAGGATTTGGGGAAGATCAGGAGGTTCCCACGTTCTCCTCCCACCTTCTCAGGGACCCCTCCTTCCTAAGGCTGAGGTTACGGACTGGGGACCCGTTGGCATGTTGGCACGCTGGCTTACCACAGGTCGGTGCACGTCCCAGAATGCTCGCTCCTGGCTGTCCAGGATCTTCCTCTCGATCTTGTCTCTCTTCTTGTCCACTCTGTCAACAGCGGGACAAAGAAGGACAAGTGGCGTTAGCGCGGTGCCCATCCGAACACGAGGCCCAGGACTGAACCCCCGACAGGCTCACAAGGACTCACTTCGCTTGGGCTTCGGCTTGCATGAAGATGAACTCCCACTTCCGGGCGAACGCCCTCTGCAGCCTGGCCAGGCTCTCCTGAAAGCACACCACAGGGTCACCTCCAGTGTCGCCGCCACTGCCCCTCCAGTTTGCCTGCTCGCGTGTTTACCAAGGAAACACGCGCAGGCTTCCTAGCGCGCTCAGTGCGCCCTGCTCCGGCGGTGCCCGTGCCTAGTGCAGCTGGCCCTGTGGTCACCCCGCGCAGAGAAAGGCAGGCACGCCTGGCACAGACACCGGTGTTGAAGTGCCTTTAGAGAACACAACTGACACCCAAAATACTGAAATCACCTTGATCGAAGCAAGGGCTCGAGACTCTTCCGAGCCCACTTCGTTATTTCTGCTACTGATTCACTCGGTCTACCCACTTCCTGGAGATGGTTGAACCCTGGGCAGCCTGCTACCCTTTCCAAGCGGAGTTTCAAATTCGGTAAATCACAGCCCAGCAATGACCTGAACGATGACGACAGGTTGACTGAATCTGCTGATGGTGACCAACCTGGAAGGTGTGTGAAGTCCATTTTCCCAGGGTAAGTGCTCTGTGATTCTCCGTGTTAAGTCGTATCTAAAGCTTTTACACTTGTTACTTTTTGTAAATAAGGGATGCTTCCCCCTTCTACTCTGTCTGTGTATTTAGGATTTCATTGTCTTCAATGCGAAGGAGAGAAAGCCAACAAGTCAGAGAGTTATGTCTGAGGCTACCTGATCCCTTGAAAATCTGACCCTTAAATTCCACGAAAGGAGTAAGTTGACAGAGCATCCGGAAATGACCTTTCCCTGCCCATTTTCTAACTCGCTTCCAGAACACCCCTCGTACTCACAGCTTCATAGTCGGCCAGCTCCAGCCTCGCCTTGTTCTGCATCGTTCTCTTGCAGAGGTAAACCGCTGGAAGGGAAAACACCCATCATTTCCCGCCTGCGAATTAGCACGGAGACACCAAAAACAGAAACACAGCACCGCAGATCGAGACGTATTGGGTTTGTCGCTTTTTTCTCAAGGTGAAGCTGTAATTTCCTTTATTTATCTTTTTAGACAAAAATAAAGAATTTGCAACACTATCGCTGAAATTCAAACAGTGGATTTTTACGGTGTTTATAAGAAAATAAACATGTTTAGAAAGTGGGTGACCATTTCTTTAATTTCATGAAACAGCTGTCATAATTTTAGCATCCTCAAAAAGTAAGGGGAAAAAGGTAAGACAGCAAATGAACTTAAACAAATTACACCATTTGTACACAGGAACTGCATGAAGAGAGACTCCTTAGCACATTCAATTACTTCTGTATTCTACTGTCAACTGAAAACGTCTATTAACGTAAACGGGAGGCTTGGCATCTTCTTTACATCATTTTGTAAGGGCCAATCATCAACTCATTGTTTTGCCACTAGAAGAGAAGAGGGTATAACATCTTACCTAACTACAATACAGCTACCTATGGATTCCATTTTCCTGAGGACTGAGTTTCCTTGGCTGCCAGAGAAAGTCCATCTGGGCAGCAGGCTTACAGAATGGATGACAGACAGAGACAGGATGGTGACTACAGCATGGCCATCAAACAGTTATTTCAGGAATATCAGTGACTCTCATAATAATGTCAAGACATTCAGAGCGCTCTGGTACAGTTCCAATTACCAGAGTATTTTTTTCATTTTTCCATGCTGTATGATATTTGAGTCGCATGAAATTCAATATATTCTCTATCTATTCTAGATGCCGAATAAATCCAGGGGATGAGGACTATCAACCTTTTGTAAGGCTAGCTCTGGGTATGCCTAATAAACACTGTCTTTGTGTTAACCCGCACTCCCCACACACCCCCTCCATGCGTTTTTGATCATGAAGTCTAGCTGGTTCACTGAGGAACCAACTTACACAGAAACTCTGAGGCCACTGCAAACATCGGTGCTATTTGTTCAATGTCTGCCTCCCCAGGTTTCCTGAGTGAAGGTCAAGGTAAAGGACAGCCAACCACAGAACGGCGCTAACATTACTGCAAACGCTACGAACCAAAGGCAGGGTCTTAGGACACATCTTTCTACAGCCTATCTTGGTTATTGCATTTTTCTACTATATTAAGAATTTTCAAAGGACTGATTTTCACAATTGCAAATGTTCTGATTGCCATCGGTTTGTGCTCACTGTTGGAAAACCTCTTGCCGTAGAGGTCCATCTACAGCAAAATATGTAAATATGATCTTAACAAAATATGTAAAATGTTTTCAGCAGTTGATAGGACAGATTGTAATGTATGAGCAATATCCCCGAGGGCGTCTCTTCAGGAGAAAAAGATGAGTCTACTTAAATATCTAATTACATAATTCCAGCTTTCCTGTAGAATTAGCTTCGATCCAATGTCCAGCCGCAGCTAAGTGTCCCCTCAGCCAGCCTGCCTCATCTCCTTCCATCAGCCTCCACCTGCTTTATGGATTCTGGCCATTTAATTTTTGTTCTGGTCAACACTTCCTTTTGGAAAGTGTAGTTCTAAACTCATTATGCTAAGTAATGAATAAAAACAAAAGCAGGATACTTTTTCAGATGCCTCTTCACTAGGAAGCTGTGCGTCTGTCCTATAGTGCAATTTTCTTTACCCCCCTAGGAAACAGAATACAGGCGTGCACAGGGTGTACCAGGTACATAGTAGTTGTTTCCAATGCATTTGTGGAATGAATACATAAATAAATAAATGGGATCCTTTCAGAGGAGTTATTTAGAAGTCAAATGAACTCAAGTGATTTCTTCTGGTCTCTTTAGTAAAGAGAAAGAAAAGGCTGGGTCAGCAAAGCAGGGAGCACACTGGATACTGTTGAACAATGTATAGTATGCTGTCAGGTGCAAATGACACTTTTGTTGCTTTTTAGCAGAGAGTATCAGCACCAGGCAGGATGTGGGTAAGAAAGGAGGCCCAAGTCTTTGCATAATTTAAAATGTATATATTAAGTTGGGTTGGGTCTTCTCCCATTCCCCAAAAGGCTCATTCCCATTACAAGCCAGATCCTCCCAAAAGGAGGGAAATTATCATTGTGGGAACCCTTCCCGTTTCTGGTTCCTTGGGCATTTGCTCACTTGCTCTGCAGGGAGGCCCCGACAGAGGTGCAGGTGAGCTAGAGAAAGACACGCACGGGCCTGGGGTTCTGCTCCAGCTGCTGCCCAGCGGCAGCGGGTCCTTCCAGGGTACCACGCGCTCCTCTCCCAGCTCGTCCCCTCTGTTCCGAAGCTTTCTCCCCAGATGTCCGAGCAGCCTGTGCTGCTTTCTGCAGTCAAGGCCAGCGACAAAACCTCCGACAGGGCACAGGCCTGTCCCTTCCAGTGCTGTGTCCAAGCCCAGGAGACCTGGTCCAAGCTGGGGCCTTGCTCCGCCCTCCCAAGACTGACCTCTCTCTTGAGCCCTCATCTATCAATCCCGGGGATCATGTGTGGAATTGGTCGGAATTTCATCTAATTCAGAAAGGCGTCTTAATTTCCGAGAAAGGAAGTTAAACGTCTGATATCACCATCTTCTTTTCACCTGGCTAAATGCTACTGATTCCAGGGAAAGCAATCTGTCCCCTGAGGAATGTGCGGTGCCATCCGGACTCCAAGTTGTCCCAAGGGGTCATTCTGCTCTAGTTCTGCTTTCTTTTCTCTCTTTTTCTAATTTATATATATATATATTTTAACTTTATAATTTTTAAAAATGTTTTCAGTTACAGTTGATCTACAATATTACATTAGTTTCGGGTGTACAGCATCGTGTTTAGATATTTATATACTGTAGGAAGTAACCACCTGATAAACCTAGTGCCCATCTGACACCATATGCAGTTATTACAATATCATCAACTATATTCCCTATACATACTTTACATGCCTATGACTACTTTTATAACTGGCAGTGATTAAAATGGATATTTTCTATAATAACAAAGATACCTACAAAACTCTCAGAGGTTCTGCTAGATTTATATAGTAACTCTTACGTTCTGTTTTTTTTTCATATGTAACATTATTACCTCTTTTGCTTATAGCATTTAGTAGATTTTAAACTAATGCCATGTCTATGTTTGAAATGCAGCATAATAAAAATTTTAATTTTCATCTTGACATTCCTTAACCAGTTTTTAAATCAAAATAATACCAAGTAAATTTCCCTTAATTTTTCATAAAGGACTCCTAATTTTTCTTTCTCTTATTTAAACATTATTATTATTATTTTAGAGAGCGAGGAAGTGAGAGGGAGAGAGAGAGAAGCATCTATGAGAGAGAAACACTGATCAGCTGCCTCCTGCATGCCCCCTACCAGGGATCAAGTCAGCAACCCTGTCATGTGCCCTGGCCGGGGACAAACTGCTGACCTCTTGGTGCACAGGACGACATCCAGCCAACTGAGTCACACCAGCCAGGGCTCTGTCTCTTATTTAACTTTATCAAGCAAACCAACAGGTTGTGACAATCAGCACCTTTTCCGAGAGTACCTCCATAAATCATCTAGTGGGAATATGAATCCTAACACTAGACAATTTCCAAGGGCTGTGGAACTCCCAAATGATTGATTAATCTGTGTCATTTAATCTGCATTAAAATAGTCCTGAGAGAGCTTTCATTCATGATGAATGAACTTGATTTCTCCCCGCCCTCTTGTCTTGCTTTCTCAGATCAAAGGAGAGAGATAGAGGCGGAATGCTACAACATGACAGTACAACCAGAAGGATGAGATCGACAATGGTCACTGGCTAGATCTCTCAGGAAAGTAGACTCCTACTGTGCCTATTGTCTGATCCCCTGATCCTCAACGTGGAAAGACGAACTCACAGATGTCCTAGGAGAGTCCATGGAGTGTAGTAGAAAAAAGCAATGACCCATGGGTTTTGAGATCCGGGGCTCTGGCAGCCTTCATTGTGATTTGGTTACATCACTGAGCCTCTCTGAGATCCCAATTGCTCACCTCTATAATGAGAATCAAAATACCTGGTGCATCTATTCCATAGGACTTAGGTTAGGATCACAGCAGATGCTATACAGGAGAGGGCTGCGTTAACTACACAGAGAGAGTTATGTACGAAATTATTAGATATATGGTCCTTCAAGTTCACTGGAAAAGTTTCTGCCTAAAAGAAAATTATAACAAGTATTTCTATAAGTGAAATGTCTCTTTAAAACCCTGTTGGGCATAGATTTTTACTTAAAGTTATTGTGGGTTTTTTTTAAGACACTATAGAGAGGGCCATTGTTTGAGGTTTTTAGTGTCTAATGTGTTAGCTGTCTCTTCCTTGTAGAGCTTCCATGAATTGGCAATGCCAACAATTTTTTTTTTTTATCCTCACCCGAGGACATTTTTCCATTTTTTGCTCAGATACAGTGGGAGGGAGAGAGTGGAAGAGAGAGAGAGAGAGAGAAACATCGACGTGAAAGGGACACATCGAGTGGCTGCCTCCCGCACGACTAACCAGGGCCGGGGACAAACTGCAACTGAGGTACGTGCCCTTAGCAGGAACCGAACCCGGGTCTCTCCGGACCGCAGGCCAACACTCTAACCACTGAGCCAAACCGGCCAGGGCAACAATTTTAAATAATAAAGATGAAACAGATATGTCTTGTATCTGGAGTACATTGCCCAATGATTTTGAAACCTTTTAAAATTTTACCTCAAATATATATTTTATGTAAACAGGACTACTTTTGTTTATAACATGCAACTTGATACCATTAAATTGTATTTTTTTATTTTCAATTCTGCTCTTCACTCATTATTTTCGGTCTCATTATCTCTTATCATCCCAACACAGAAACCCTGCATACAGTTACGCAAGTGATCGATATTTTCCGCTAATAGTGGCTCTCAGCTTTCAGGGATATAAGGAGAGAAAGAGAGAGAGAAAAATTTAATCATTTATTCATTCAACAAATA